AATTAAACCTCTACGGAGGATTTATCTCTACGAATTATTACGTAAAAGGTAAGCGCGGATGATCCGAGAAAATAAGGCAGATTATCGATCGAGGCGGCATATAAAAGATAGATTTCTTTTTTCTTTTTTTTTTTTTTTTTTTACCTTGCACAAACAGTTGAAACACCTGGTGTTCGGGATCTTGTCCACGGTAAAGTCTTCTCCCTCGACGTCGCACGTTTCTCGGCTTCCTGGAAGACACAGAGGTGGCGATCACGATGCGAACGATGATGATTCGGTACGATTGGTCGCGCGGTCGGAACCGATATCGGAACCCGGCGCCGATTCTTCGGTTACACGCATGCCATATCGATTATCCAAGGTCATAGGTGTATTATCTTCTACCTCAGAGAGAGGTCGAGCACGATTCTCGCGCTTCCTTCCTTCCTTCCTTCCTTCCCTTTTTTTCCCCCTCTTTTTTTCTCTGTCAAGTGCGCAGGAATGCATGCGAGAAAGAAAACGCAGCGGCGTTGCCGTTCGCGTTTCCTTCGCCTTCTCTTTCTCTCCCCCTCTTCCTCCCTCCCCCCCCTCCCCGAGTTGTTTCGTTCTCGGCCGCGCATCGAGTTCCGTTTCGCGAGAAACGCAGGGAAACGCGTCGCGAAAAACCAGCGAGTTCTCGTTTCCGAATCGAACGAAAGGGAGGAGAGAGAGAGAGAGAGAGAGAGAGAAAGAGAGAGACAGACAGACAGAGAGGGGGGAGGACGGATCGGATCGGATCGGATCGGATCGGATCGGATCGGATCGAAAGTCAAGGCAAACGCGCGGGCGTGCATATGTTGTTTACGCAATCAGTGGAGTGTCGAGGGAATCGAGGGAAATTGTGGGTGATCGTGAGGTAGCGAGGACGATCGTTGTCAAACTACTACTACTACTACTATTACTACGGTGGGAAACGCGAATAGACAATGGAGACGGACCTAAGAATAGAGCATTGACGTTCGCCGTTCGTTCCAATGACTTTCGATCGCGATCGCGAATCTCGTATCCGAGATGACGATCACCTACGTTCGAACTCACCTATTATACTTTCCGAGATTCCGTGGCAATGACGGATCGACGAGATTAAGGCCAGGGCCAGAACTAGGATCAACGGTTTCGAGGATAATCGTCTCATCCTTATCCTCGCCATCGATAACATCGGCTTAGTTTGCGTCTTCGCCCTCGTCGCCGATCACGATGGTTTACTAGAAAAAGAGAAAGCAGAGGCTTCCGTCAGAGATCTCTCTCCCCTTCGAGGGTGACATTCCACGATTCCACGAAATCGATTCGCGAGAAAACAACGGGAAAACGAAAATTTGGATCAAGGCTGCGAGTAAACGCGCGCCACACACCAGTGGCGGAGATCGCTCGCTGCGCGATCAACAAGGAAAGAAATAAGAAGAAAAAGAAGAAAAACACGCCGGTTCGCCCATCAACGATTGTTGTCGTAACCTTCCGCCCGTTCGTATATTTACGCTAGACCTCCGTATATTTTCACGAGTCACGGACAACGCAACAACCTACGGAATCTTTCTTCGTAACATCCGTAACGGTCGATTCGTAATCATTCCGAGAACCGCGCGCGTGCGGTTACCCGATACGATCCTACGTCGAAACGAGCCAGCTTCGTCTCGATTTCTCTTGTCCGTTCGATTCGCGCCTCGATTCTTCTTTTCCTCTAGATATCCAGATTCGCATTCCATCGCTTTATCTCGTATCGAGAGCTCGGAAAGTCGAGCGAAATTTTCCGATCGGACGAACGAACGAACGAACGAACGAACGAACGAACGAACGAACGAACGAACGCGTGTCGTTTTCTCCTCTTCTTTTCTCAGACTCGTCGACTCGTCTCTAGCTCGATCCCCTCCACTCTTCACCGATATTCGTATTATCTCTTTTCCCCGCGTCCCATCTTCAGCTTTGAGATCGACTAATGGACGAAGCGAGTTCCGTTTATCTCCTCTCCATTCGTTTCGAACGCGACCAGGTATTCGCGCCTTTCTTGTCGTCGTCGCTTATGTAAAAAAAAAAAAAAAAAAAAAAAAGATCGAACTCGAAAAATCGAATCCAAGCCTCTCCTTTTTTCCCCCCTCTCCTTCCTTTAGTCGATTCGCGAAACTCGACCGATCATAGTACTCGAGAATTGGAATCGCGTAAATAACGCGGTCGAGGTTCGAGCAAGCAACGAGTACGGACAGAGGGGAGAGAAGGGAGAACGACGCGCGATAAAGTGAGAGGAAAAGGAGAGAGAAGAAAGAACGATTGTCGCGGGGACGAAAGAAACGATCAAGCAGCGAAGGTTCCGACAATTTTACGAGCTTCAACTCGGAATCAAGTCGAATTCTAGTCGAGATCTCTCGACACGTAATTGAGTAAACAAATGGCACGATCCGAAAAGGGAGACGCGTCCTTACGCGAGAACAGCGTCGAGGACGGTTGAGAAGCAACCGGAGGTAAGTGGCACGAGCTGTCGCGTGCACTGGCACGCCGTGACGGAACGACAACAACGGAACAGGTGCGTGGAACGAGAAGGGCTCGCTGCGCACCATCTGCCCGCATGTGCGTCGGTATACGAACTCTTGGACGAACGAGTACGCATACCTACCTACCTACCTATCTATCTACCTATCCATCCATCCATCCATCCATCTATCCATCCATCTACCTACCTATCTACCTACCTACCTAGCTACCTAGCTACCTACCTACCTACCTACCTACCTACCTACCTCGTTGCTCCTTGGTTTACGAGCGTCGATGCCGGCCGAGCGTCGTGTACGCGACGAAGAAAAAACAGGAGGAGAAACGAAGGGAAAAGAAGGGAAGAAGAGAGAAGAAGGGGAAGAGCCGGCGAGTCTCTCGGACGATCGCGATCAGCGGGACAAAGCGAAGCGACGCGTCACTGGCGACATCTAGTAGCGCGTACTCAGCTGTCAGATGGGTACGCGCCGCCTTCGACCCTCTACCGTTTCTGCTTCGACCGTTTCTTCCTCTTTTTCTCGAAAATCTTTCCTTCGCGTCCCATCCATTCCATAACCCGCGCCATTCTCCTTCCATCTTGAACGATTCGCGAGAATCGCGTTACGACGCGGACACGAATCTTTGCGTCCTTGATTCGTCACGGGTGTGTTTGGTTGCGTTGGTTGGTTCGTATCGGCGAACCGGCACGGGGACAAAGAGATCGAGGTCGACTTACCGGAGTCGAGATATCGCCACGCATCCGTGATATACTCGGCGCCAAAGCGTCGACGAGGCTACGCATCCGTCGATGAATCGAGACTCGGTTCATTTGACGAGCGGGAAAGCTCGATAGTTCGCGTTCGAAACGTTGCGCTCGCTCTCTCCTTCCCTCTACGCTGCACACTCTCGCCGATAAATGCCGCGCACATACACACGCGCACACGCGCGGTACGCGGAAAATCACCGTTCGAAGAATCGAAGCTGCGGTTACCGGGTTACGTTCTCGCGGGGCAAGCTCTCGACCACCGACTACCGACGCGACTCGAACGCGTCAGCTGCTCGCCGCAGCTGCACTAAAGTTCCGTTGCGAGAACTTCCACCACGTTCGTATCGTTCCAGCGTAACGAGGTTCCGTGGCTGCGTGTTGTTGGACTAGCTAGCCAGCAGCAGCGGTTCAGGGGGGAAAGGCGACTGGAAGTGGTCGAGAAGAGTGGTGGCCACACGGCACTCGGGACGGCGCGCCGCGGCAGCGGCGGGGGGGGCGGCGGGGGGGGGGGGGGGGGGGCCGGTGAAGTAGCAGCGCGGGAAGCTGGTGAAGGAACAACGGCTCGGGAAGGAGGAGGAAGAAGAGGAGGAGAGTGGGTTTGCTCGGACAACCGGTGAAGAGAACGGCAGAGGAGAAACGAACGGGATGGGTGGGAGAATGTTTCGATTCGCTCTTTCTCTCTCTCTCTCTCTCTCTCTCTCTTTCTTTCGTCCCTGCGTTAACGACGTGCCGATTCGATTACCCATCGGTTCGAAATTTTCACGTTTGTTTCTCGTCGCCCGTGTTACACGTTGGATGTATGCGCGAATCGAATCTATTTGGGTCCATCGCTGACCCTTCTACACACTACCACTACTGATAAGATAGACGGCCGAGAACCGGCCAAGAAAGGTGGAAAGAAGAGGGACGAAGAGGAAGAGTAAGAGGAAAAAAAAGTTTTTTTATCCGCCAGTGGAGTGAAGAGAGGAAAGGGAAGGAAAAGAAGCGAGGCTATCGCGATTGTCTCTGCGCTCGATCGGAATACCAAGCTGGAAAATACCGATCGTTTGAAACGCGAAGAACCAAGATCCAAACGGGAATCCGTCTCCGACCAATTTTCGATAATAACGGCCATTCTATCCACGGTGTTCTACTTCGATAATCGGTATCGGTCCGCGCGCATTCAATAATACCGCGTTTTTACGAGATATCCGGTGTCGGCATATCAAGGATTCCGCGCAAACAGCGTTCTCGTCTTGAAGCAACGCGAACGTTAACCTCGATACCATTAACGAGTTTTTATTACATCGATTCGAGCCGAAACGCGAAAAGAAAAAACGTTAACTATACACCTCTTTCTTTCTTCTTTCGTAACTTGGCCGAGACGAAACGACGCTTACTTACTTTCTCGGCTATTGTACATATCGAAGATGTTTATCGACGATACTTTTCTGCTCTTCTTGACCACCGAGTATTTTACGTTTCTAACAAGTACTACCTATCTACCTATCTCTCTACCTACCTATCTACCTACCTACCAATCTATCTACCTACCTATCTACTTGTCTACCTACTTAC